GAGGGGACGGAGGGGGAAGACGGTGCCACTCTCCAAAGAAGTGATGTGGAAGCCTATTCTATCATCCCGGTGAGGCTCGATAATATTCGGCCAGCTGGGGTCAAATTCAAGGATGTACCCCTCCGGGAGATTCCTACGAACCTTGTTTTGGGCAATTTTGGAGACGTGGGGGAAAATGTCTGAGGGGTAAATGGTGGGGAGGGGAAAGTAACCGGCTGCTTCCAACCGGTTCACCCATCCCTCATACGACTCGCCGTCAGGGTCATAGGGAGCCGGCTCATCGTCGACCGGTTCATCCCTCTCCTGAGAAACCTGACCGGACATTTGGTTGACAGGTCGCGGTCCAGGGACGGTGGCGTTGGGGCCTGACCGGTTCTCGAAACTGGACAAAGAGGACCCGGTCGAAGAAGAGGAGGTTGAAGATTCCTCGGATGCGCAGGCATCCGAGGAAGAGATACCTTGACTATCAGAGGAAGACATCTACCTGGAGGAAAAATGAAGAAAGAAAGCTAATAAAAGATAGGAAGAAAGCTTACTTGACTCGGAGGGCTAGGAGGCTAGAACGGAGAGACTGACCGGTGGAACTCAGGAAGGTCGCGCGAGAAGAAGTGAGAAAGACAATGGGGTTGAAGCCTTTATATAGGCGAGGAGGAAGACAGAGGGAGGCGACGTGGCCACGCGAGGTCGCGCCGCGTCAGGCGGCGCAATAATGGCGCATGGGAAGGCGATGGGACGCGACTGCTGCCATGACCAGCGCCAGGCACGTGTTAAAATCAACAATTCGAATTTTGAATTTTGAAATATTTGAGCGGGAGAAGTCAGAAATTTAAATTTTGAATATACCTTTTGGATTTTTACTTCCCGCTTATGACAAAATTGCATAACCGAGAAGTGGAGGGCTTATTGATGGGTGTATTTCACCCACGACCGGTCAAAGGCCAGGACCAGATAGTTGACCGGTCAGAAAGGTCGAACTTTGGAATGAGATCTGAATCGTCAGCAAAGGGATGGTTGGTTGACCAGAGACTTGACCAGTACACTTCGGGTTAGTATGCCGGTCAAATTACGCCATCGCCCACATTCGCCCACCGAAGTTAGCCAAATCAACCCTCGAGGATCACCCGGTCTAGTTTCCGAAGATCGGAGAGCGTCGGCAAGGAGAATCCAAAAGAGGCTTGGACTGTAGTGGTTGGCGTTGCAGAGATGCTGGAGGAATATTTCCAAACCAGAGCGTGACAAGGAGGGTAATCCCCCTCGCAAGATGACAAGACGGATCAGGGACAGTCATCTCGCACCACATCAGCAGCGTGCCCCCACGTGGGCGCACGTGAACCTGTCCCCCCCAGCTTAGTATATATATCCCTTGTAAACCTCAGAAAAAGGATCTGAATTCATTCTCTCTAAACTCCCTTGTAAAAGCACCCGTGCATTCTCCGTTATAACATAAATCGGGCTACAGGTGTTCCACCTAAAGTCCTACCGGTCAATCTGCGTGTTTTTACCTTTCTTACTTTGCCAAATCAAGCAAACTATTCTAGACCCGGTCTAGTATAGTTTGACCGGTCAAGTAATTTACACCATCACATCCAATACTCCCCCTAGTTCACTTGGCCCACTAAAATTCTAACATGGTATCAGAGCCAGGTTTGATTCATCTTCGTATTCACCGAGCTAGCTATAAAGTGATTGAGATGTATGTTAGACCCATTCATTCATCCAAATAGTAATTAGACCATGCTAGTTACCACTTGAGAGGGGTGTTGGGATTCATCCCACACCTGAATAATAATATAAACATGACTCTCATATAAATAAAGAACACTATCCATTAGCTTAAACTTTTAAATAGAAAGTGGATTCGGACTTTATATGGGTAAATGGTCAAATTTCACCCAATACTCCGCCAAGTTCACTTGGCCCACCAAAATTTTAACATACCCGGGTCAGCTAGGTCGCAGGATCAACAGGTTTGGACAGATTGTTGGTCAAACGGGCTTAACCAATAACTGGATTAGGGTCGTGCTCGGGTTTCGGTCCAATCGCAGACCTTTCAGTCCGACCCTTCACCATCTCTTTCAAAAAATTCAGAATCGATAAAAATTTTGTTCAGTGCCGCACATTCGCACGGGTCTAAATACTAGTGTGTGTGTGTGTGTGTTTGTATTTGTGTGTGTGTGTAAAAGAGAGTTACATAGTTGTGGTGATGACACGTGTCATGCCACACGTGCATACTACTGACATGTGTCATGCCACATGTAAATCACAAGACACATGCCACTACGCACATGCATATTTAATTTTGTATTAAAACATTTTTTTAATATTTTATAAACCCTTTACTTTCCAACAATAAAAAACTCTTATGTTTGTTTTTTTAATAAAATTTTCACTTTCTAACTATTTTAGAAATATTTTTTGTTGTTTAACATATTTTTAAATATGCACAACTCTTTTAACACTTATGTGGCTTTTTTATGCAACCCAATTTATGAATTGAATAAAAAGAAAAGAAAATTATTATTTTTTGTTTCCTTTTTTAACACCTACTATGTCACATAATTTTTTATATGGAAAATATAAAACTAAAAGTTTGGTAAGAAATGTTTGAGCAAATATAAATTTGGGGAAAAATATTCCTTTTTATAATAATATTCTTTCCAAATTCTATATTTTTTCTCTTCATTTATAACAAATTTTTAGAATAATATATAAAATACTCTCTTCACCTATAAATAAATTTTATAAGTGTTTATTATATGTTTACTTGAAATTAAGTTTTTGATTAAATTTATTTAAATATTGACACCTAATAAATAAATTGTTTTCTTCACCAATAAATAAATTTAATATTTATATTGACACCTAATAGTCTAATATGCCACTTAATTTAAAATATACAGAATCTGAAATCAATACATTGGAATGAAATCTTTGAATAAATTTAAGTATGCAAACGAATTATTCGTTTTAATGATAATATCCTTTCCCAATTCAAATTTTTTTATTCTCTTCTTTTATAATAAAATTTTCAACAAATAAATAAGATGGTTTTTAACTTCTAAATCAATTTGATACAGGTATTTGTTTATAATATGTTAAAATGAAGTTAGTTTTGATTGGATTCATTGAAATATTGATGTAAAATTTAAAACACACAATATATTTTTAAAAATACATCAAAAGATATATAGAATAAGAGATGACTAAACTATAAATATATTACAATAGAAAAAATACAATGCGTAATTTCATAGTTCGAATATATTGATTTTATACTTTGACTTTATTACTATAAAACTTATGGCTTATATTGCTTAAACTATTTATGCTTTAAATTGAAAAATATAATATTTTTGGTTTTTTGGTGATATGATATTTTATATTAAATTATAGTTAAAAATTGATGTTAAAAATGTGTTACCTAGACATACTATGTTTACACTAACATTCTTTATGATTTCAACATTATTTAGTAAATTTAATTATCAAAAAGAGATCATCGCTTTCGTTAGAATGCATTTTTTCAAATTTACGCTTAAATGAAGTTAGTTTTGATTTTACGGAGTATTTTTTTAAATATTGATATAAAATAAAGTATAAAAAATATATTTTTATCTCTACATTAAAATACTACAAACGACTAGATGATTTTCAAAATGATCAAATACTTAAATCAAAAAAATTAAAAAATGAGTAATTTTGTGTTCAAATAAAAAAAATACAAAAAACCATCAATTTTTTTTGTAAATTTTTATTCAAAATCATAGGATCACTAGTGTTTTTTCTATTAATTTTTTTAATTAATGCTCATGAATAGAAGCATTGGATTTTTAAATATTTTTTATTTTTATTTTTTGAATCATTGGATTGCTAATCTAAGATTTTATTTTTTGACTTATGCGGGTAGAGAAGAAGCATTCCGATATTTTTTAATTAATGCAAGAGAGGAAAATCATAATAATACGCGAGAGATGAATAGCATGTATTTCGCTAATCAAAATTAATAGAGTGATGCATGATAGAAGAGTCAAAATTTTTGAATCATAACTAATGCAAGAAGAATAATAATAGAAACACCAATATATTTTTTAATTAATCTGTGGAAAGATAAATAATATTGTTTTAATCAATACGAGGGAGGCAAATAATATTAATGCGGGGAGATGAATCAATTTTATTCGATAATCTAAACTAATGCGGGGAGAATCATATTTTTTGCCCATCAATGGCGATTGTCTAATGGTTATGTCAAGATTAATGTGGATGCTTCAACGGAGTTGACCGATACAGTGTCGGGGTTCATTTTATTGCTCGAACCTATCAAGGGGCTTTAATTGTTTCACATGATTTACATTGTAGAAGATGTTTTAGACCTAGAGAAGCGGAGGTCATTGATATAAATGAGGCTTTAAGCTGTATCAAGGACAGAGTTTGGAGACATATCATTTTGGAAACAGATTGCAAGTAGTTGATGCTCTTAATAATTCCACCAATATTATGATTTAGCGAGTGGGAGTACAAGTGGGGTTAGAAGTATTAGTTTTAGATGTTTTTGGCAGTCTTTTTATGACATCACACAAAAATGTTATATACCTTAATTTTTCAAAATATTCTAATTTAAATAAGATCCTGACATGTTAATTTTCAAATATATACAGTATAACTTTCAGTAGCAAATATTATACTCCCTCTGACCCATAGAACTTTTCTCTTTTCTTTTCTCATCTATCCTAAAAAACCTTTATCATTTCTATTAAAAAGTAACTTTTATCCATAATAATTCTTAATATATTTATCACATAACAGTTTTTTACTATTAGTCTACCTATCACATCTTACTTTTACCTATCACATCAAAAGACTTATATCCTTTAAAAGTCAAAAACAGAAAAGTTTTGTGAAATGGATGAAGTATATTTTACCATTATTTTAACTTTTAAGGTTGATTTTTTATTTTGTACGATTTTTTAAAAATGTTGTAGCGAAGAAAAATAAAAAATTTGAAACAAAACCACACCGTGCATGGCACAGATTAAAATCAAGGTAAATATTACTCCCTCCGTCCCTAAATAGATTACAATCTTTTTTTTTCTCTCCTCTCGATAACTTTTGTTTGTTTACGTGATTTCATCAAGTATTTGATAAAATAAAATATTCTTGTCACCTCTTGTTTTGTAGAACTTTTGACGTAATTTTTTAATATGTAATTTTTATATCTTATTGATATACCAATTTATAAATAAAATGATTTCAAAAAGTAGGAAAATTTATTCTGTAACCAACAATTTGTAATCAAATTTGAGAGGAATGAAGTATTATTTGGAAAACTTATCCTTTAATGTACGAAGTACTCCGTACCTTGTTTGGGGCAACTTCTAGTTTTTAATGTAGTCCGATTAGCGAAAGGAAACGGTCAGTCCAAATGCTACTACCACACCACCGACCTTTGTTTACTCCCATCCCACTCTCTATATATACTCTCTCACTCCACCTCTTTCCGATTCACAAACCACAAACGAATTCACAGAGACACGCCGGAGAAGAGAAACTTCGACATGGGATCCGATGGGAACACATCAAACGCCGGGACCGGATTCCCGGCGCCGTCCCTCTGCAGCAACGGTTGCGGATTCTTCGGAACGCCGGCGACGAAGGGGCTCTGCTCCAAGTGCTACGCCGCCGCGGAGATGGCGGAGCAGGCCGCCTCCGCCTTGGAGAAGCTCTCGCTGGGGACCGATCTCAGGGTCAAAATCAGACAGCCGGCGTTCGTTTGGCCGGTCGTCGAATCGGCGGATGACTCAGCGCGAGACCCGCCGCCGCCGCGCGGTGCCGGCAGGTGCCGGAGTTGCCGGAAGAGGACGGGGCTGGTGGCGTTCAATTGCCGATGCGGTTATGCCTTCTGTGCGGCCCACCGCTACCCGGAGGCGCACGATTGCACTTTCGATTTCCGGGCCGCGGGTCGGGTCGAAATATCCAAGGCGAATCCGCTGGTGACGCCCGATAAAATCCAGAGGTTCTGATTATGTGAATTGTGGAATTTCTCAATTCGTAGAAGAAGACGATTTCTTTTTTTCTTTTTCTATTTTTTTCTTTAAACTCTTTAATGATTTCTTTTTCCACATTTATAGTATGGGTATTGTTAAATTCACACTCTCTAAGTAGGATTATATTCATATTTTTCATCTAAATTTGTTAATTTCATATTTTACTTACAGAGTAATATAAATATAAATTCACTGTTTATGATGTAATACTCTTTCTTTCATTTGTTTAGTTTGATTCCTTCAAAATTTGGCCAGTTTCATTCTAAAAAATCAAACTAGCTAAATATTCTGTGATGGAAATACTGAGGAGAATAATTGTAATGTTTTGTTGTGCAGCAATTATTTTAAGTATATTTTTGTTAAGTTAATTTAATCCTAACACGTGAAAAGAGAATAAATTATAATGTCAAATCTTCACGATATAAAGCAAATTTATTTATTGAGATTTGAAACACATAAAATAAAAACAGCCCGGTTCCAGTGCCACTGGAATCCGGTGCCACTCCGGTGCCACCGGCATTTTGGGGCACCTCCGGTGCTCCGTTCGCAAAATTGACGATTCCTAGTCCCGTAACTCACCCCCTAAACCCCACACCCTACCCCCGTCCCTGCACCCCCACCCCATTCCCGCCGTAATCCCCCAACACATAATAGCCACACATTTTGTGGGGGGCTTACGGCGGAGTTGGGGTGGGGGTGCAGGGGCTGAGGTAAGGTGGGGGGTTTGGGGTGGGTTAGGGGGCTAGAAATCGTCAATTTTGCGAACGGAGCACCAGAGGTGCCCCAAAATGCCGGTGGCATCGCTAGTGGCACCGGATTCCAGTGGCACTGGAACCCCACCCAAATAAAAATAACATTGAAGTTCCTACATAATCCAAGAGATATGAAGAGTGCTGATTAATACGGAGTAACATTAAGTCTAGAAAGTAATTAATAAAATACCTGTGTTTTGTTCTTACTCTGTATTAACTTCTTTAGGAAAAAATTTCCTAAACATGAGTAATGATATTCAAAAGGGCTTTTTTATGGTGTTCACCCAATTAAAAAATCATTTTAAACAGAAGTAAAAAATGTAGAAAATATTAAAGTAGGAGGTTAATATTTTTATTATTAAATTAAGAGTTTACGCTGTGACGTGTATATAAATTTTAACTCTTATTTTTAAAATAAAAATATAAATTTTTTGTTTATGTATATTTTCTATGTTTTATTATTATTTTGGTCTTTTAGTTCTCAAAACTTGACACGTGAATTAAGATTGACTTACTTTTTTATTATACCACAATAATGGCTTACTACGTTAGTACGTTGCAATAATTACATACTTTCTCCCTAAATATTTGCCATAATTATATTCTCGAGATAAAATATTAAGTTTTTTCAATTCATTTTATTTATCCAATCTAACTTTGACATTGTTGATATTATGGTGTATTATGAAACAAATAAGTATTCTAATTGTCATTACGTATCTGCATATGAAGCCTCTTGGATAATCCTCTCTTTTGATATACAACAAAGGTAGTGATCAGTACTGAGATTGAATTTTTATAACCCAAGGCTAAAATTCGTAATCTTTAGACACTAACAAAAACTAAAAGATGTTGTCGAAGAAATTATTGATAAAGCCTCAATGTTTGAAGCTTGGATGATTTTCAATACAAAATATAATGCGGGATAAAATTTGACGTATGCAAAGAGTTTCGAGAATATTTTATGTACAACCACAAAGTGTGGAAATAGTTCAAAGGCAACAACGACCGTCAATAGGCAGACTACAATACGTGCTTACAGAAACTAGAGAGTTATACTA